CTCTCTATGTAGGGTCAGTGGTCAAGTTCTCTAATAAATCTTTCTTAGATATCCTATATGACACATAGGAAATAATGCAAGCCAAGAAAGACTTCTAAAAATTTTAAAACCTATATTCCTAATCATGTATTAAACACTTTCTGTATCATTTGTGTAGGACTTTCAAACCATTAAATGTTTACTGTCAGTGTTCTGCTACCCTCTTTCAGACAATTCAGTAGTTTCCAGTGTGATTTCTGGAGGCAAAATACATTACTAATTCACATCATCAAGAATTATTTAATGGATTCCGCAAATGACTGATTATCAAAGAAAAAGGTGTTTTACAATGGAGAATTCTGACAGATACTGCCTTAAGTGATCTAACTTATCACCACCAGTATTGGATGCTATTGTGGTGATGCACTGAGGACAAAACATCATTGGTGTAGTATTTTTGTCTAAAGTGATTAATTTAAAGCTAATAAAGAGGAAGCAACTCACAATCCAAATTGAGGAACATTCTGCAATACAAATGGACTCAAAAGATATATATCAATGTTGTGAAATACAAAAAGGCTTAAAAACCGTTCTAATAGGGCCAGCCCTGGCAGCCTAGTGGTTCAGTTCGGCGTGCTCCACTTCAGTGGCCCGAGTTTGGTTCCCGGGTGTGGGTCTATCAGTGGCCATGCTGTGACAGTGGCTCACATCCAAAATAGAGGAAGACTGGCAATAGATGTTAGCTGAAGGCAAATCTTCCTTAGAAAAAAAAAACCAGTTCTAACTTCAAGGAAGCTAAAGGCTAAATGCAGAGTGTAATCCTGCACTGGATGTTGGACTGAACAAAAAATAGAGCTATAAAGAATGTTACTGGAACAACAAGAAAAATTTGAAGAGAATTGTATATAGAGCTACCTAAAATGTGGGCTGCAAAACTATCTGTTATTGGTCCAAGACAAGATGAGTGCAGAAATTGGAACTATTTAGAAACCTGTTTAGCAATCTGATAGTGTCACAATATTCATGATGCAATCAGTGGACTCACTGCATTAAACAGAGTATAGACCAATTCAGGTATTGTCAGACTTGCAAGGTGCTCACACATGATATTAATGTATCAGTCATGTGCAGTAAGACCACATTACAATGTATGTGATAGGTTAGGGTTATTCTGTCAACTAAAATCCAAAAATGTGATAAAATCTAAGCATTTCTACAATTGTTATTTTTACAGTCATTTTAATTGTTAACCAAGTGTGAGTTTTAAAATTTAGAGTTTAAAATCAGTTAACTAAATTAAGAAAGTAAAATTGTATTATTTCTGGGCCGGCCCCGTGGCTTAGCGGTTAAGTGCGCGTGCTCCGCCGCTGGCGGCCTGGGTTCGGATCCCGGGCGCGCACCGACACACCGCTTCTCCGGCCACACTGAGGCTGCGTCCCACATACAGCAACTAGAAGGCTGTGCAGCTGTGACATACAACTATCTACTGGGGCTTTGGGGGGAAAAATAAATAAATAAAATAAAATTATTAAAAAAAAAAAAATTGTATTATTTCTTTTTAATATGTTTTTTTCCCCCTCCTCAAAGCCCCAATACATAGCTGTATATTCTAGTTGTAAGTCCTTCTAGTTCTTCATGTGAGCTGCTGCCACATGACGGCTACTGACAGATGAGTGGTGTAGGTCCGTGCCTGGGAACTGAACCCGGGCTGCCAAACTTTAACCACTAGGCCATCAGGGCTGGCTCATGTTATTTTTTTTAATCCTAATTTACTGATGGCAAAACAAGCCTCACTGTACGTTTCTGTAAAGAAAACACATCTTTTCTGAAGGCAGCTGTAGTAGTAAACCACATGCTGATAATGGAAGTGGTTCCACAGAAACGAAGGCCAACCGAGGTCAAACTGCTTTTAACCTATAAGCCCTCATATGTTGAGTTTGGTTTTTGATCATGCAGTGTTAAAACCACAGTGAGTTCTTTGCAGAGATGTTCTGGCTAACGAAGTGACGAATTCGTCAGAACCTCAGCGGCATTTACATATAAAACATAAAGAAATAAGTTTAAAATCAAAAGAATTCTTTGAAAGAAAGAGTATTGAACTAAAAAGCCAAAAGAAACAGATGCAAAGTTTCATACATTAACATTAGTGCATTGCAGCCTTCTGAGAAAGGAGCACTTTTGGTTGCTAACTAAAAAAAATATACCTTTGCCAAGACATTAGTAAGACTGTATCAAAGATGTTTACTTGGAAATCTTAGTGAATCTGTGACAAAGAAGGTGGTTCAATTACAACTTTCCAAGGATACCCCAGGCTGAAGCGCTCAGGATCTGGCTTATAATAGTGAAAACTATAATCAAGTTAGCAAAGTGTGTTTTTCCAATGCAATTTGAAGAATGCCACATTACTGCTAACATGAAAATTATTATGGTATATGTGTGATTTAAACATGATGGGGAGATAAAGGATTCCTCCATTAGTTTCTTGCTGACAAACACAACTGACATTCACCTGTATAATAAAACTAGGATCACATTCTGTCAACAAATGCAATTTGAAGTTTAAGTGTTTGGAAGAATATGTTCCAATGGTGGAGTTGCAAGACAGGGTTAAGGAGCCTGTGCTAAAACATAAATGAATATACTGCTTCCTTCATGGAGAAAAATCTTGCTACCAAAAAAATCACTGTTCTTGGTACAGTTGTAAAAATTGTGAATTATGTAAGGTTAATGCATTAAATTTTCATATGACTCTTCATATGTGATAAACAACGCTGATCATAAACGTGCATATGTTATATTGCACGCTGAGGTACACTGGTTATAAAACAGAAAAACGCTGTTGAGAATGATGAATTATGGAATAAACTTAGTGTTTCTAAAACAAAAAACCAATTGGTCCCCAATTTTAAAGATCTCAATTGGACAGTAAAACTTGCTTATCTGTCTGATATTTTTGCTATTTTTAATAATCTAAGTACTTCTAAGCAAGGAAGTGATTCAACATGTTTTTCAGTAGCAAATAAATTATAAGGGTAAAAATGAAAGTCAGAAGCCTGGAAGAACAGAGTTTCTACAGATTAACATGTTTCACAGAATGTTTTGAATTATATTTTCTATCAAAACAATATCCACACATAGGAAATTCATGCATTTAGAATTCCTTTTTGCACTGAAATATAATTTATATATAATTATAACTTGACAGGATAAATTGTTGGAACTGGCTACTGATGAAGCATTGAAGATGCACTTTGAAAATACAGTATCACTGGCTTCACGTTGGATAAAAGTAAAAATGAAAATCCCTAACTTAATAAAATGGCTTTAAAATCTATACTTCCATCTTCACAAAAATATCTCTGTGAGATGGGTTTCTTTATGACGAGTGTTATTAAAAAAAAAAAAAGAAAACCAACATAGAAATAATTTATATATGTATACTATCCTACAGGAGTAGTGCGGTCATCCATCCAACTTAGATTAGATGAGTTAACAAGAAAGAAATAAGCTATTTTGTCATATTAAAAACTTTAAAAATTAATACACACAGCATTTATTCAAAGTGTGTGCCTAGATGTCAAGTATTGAGAATTGATATTTTACTGTTTTTTACTTCAATTACAGAATAAAAATGTATATATATAATGATTTCCTGTAGCAATCATTTATACTCACATTTTTATTACATAGCTTACGTAGTTATATAATTCTTTCCCTTTTCCTATTTTATGTTCATTTTGACTATACTTATTAAATGTAATTTTGTATCTGTCTATTAAATCTTGTTAAAAATCTGGGCTTGTATTTTGTACTTTTTATTTTTCTAGTAATTCCTTTTTATTGTTTTACAAAAGTATTGACCTGCAACAGGTTGAAAATTTAAAATCAGGGTCCTTCACCACAGACAGTTTAGATAATAATCTGCATTAATGTGAAATTTACTGGATGTGCGAGTTATATCCTTAATCAAGAAGGAGAATGCCCTTGTTTTTATGAAACAGTGCTGAAGTATGTAAGAGTGAAGTGTCATGATGCCTACAAGTAATTCTCAAATAGTTCAGCCAAAACAAAAAGAGAGAAATACAGATATAGGTGGTGGAGACAGAAGCAAAACATCAACAAGTGATGAATCTGTATGATAGGTATATGGTGTTCACTGTAATACTATTCTTGCAATATTTCTCTAAGTGTGAAATTTTTCAGGAGAAAACGTTGGGGAGAAAAATTTTAAAAAGTTTTGCTCCACACCATTTTTAAAACTAATAATGTCAAATTCTTTTGTCCAAGATGTATTTTCACTGCATGAAATAATTGTTGGAAACTAGATATTATTTTTAAGAATATCGATTTTAGGGGAAATTATATTTTCAGAGAGCCTATACGGGTCTAATTAATTACTGTCAAAGAAAATAAATGTGACCATCTAAAAAACTGATTGGCACTTCATCTATTCTCATTTAGCTCTAAATCACAGATCTGCTGTTTTCACATAATAAAATTTAAATAAACGAGGAAAAGGAAATTCTATGCATGTGGCTCTTACCTAGAACAGCCAGGAGGTTAAGACTCTACTCTTTTTCTAAACTAGTAACAAACCTCATGAATCAATTTAAAAAAGAATACTAAGGTGAGGAAATAATATTGGAACCAAATTTCTCTCCTAGTACTTTCAATTCTTACCTGATTTCAGAGGCTTCACTGAGGCTCATTGTTCAGAGTCAAGGAAATAAAGGGAGAAATGACTTAGCTACAGTCACAAATCATGGCAATGAGTTAACTGGAACCATATAATTAACTCTTACATTTTCTTGTTTCTGTTCAGCCAATCACTTCATAATACCCAAAAACTACATTACCATACGTGAAAGGAGCTTTCTCATGTTCCCTGATAATTCATGCCATTATTTTCCTTTAGTTCAAAATATTATGATGGGTTGGAATGAAGACAGATGTCTAAAACCATGTAGAAATATGCTTATTTTTAAAAGTACTAATTTCAAAGTTTGTGAAGGTCATCCTACCTGACTTCTTCACCAGCAAAATCAAACACCTTGGTGATTTTAACTTTTTCTGTTTCTTTAGATTTCTCTAGCTCTTCTGCTTTGACCAACAATTTACTTGAACTCGTCTCTTTAGTCTCCTCTCCTTTCTATGAAAAAAGTAAGAAATGTAATCAGTTTCACTTAAGGATGAAACCTAAAAGAACCATCCAAACATGCTATTTATGGCTATTAAATGTTTCATCTCTAAACAGTTAAAGACCTACTGGAAATTTATTTGATGAGAAAGGCTTATTTTTCCTACCATAGGGAATGCTTGGCTTTTCACTTAGTAGAGTTACTACTATCAAAAGGCATCTAGTCTGATTCTGTTGTAAGCTTCAAATCTCAGTTTGTAAATAAAAAAAAAAAATCTATCTAGGAAACTTAGGGTATTTCTGGGGAAGCATTCATCTCATTCATCTATCAACTTACTTTAACATGTGTACTTGGGGGCACTTTTGATTTTGGTCCTACATCGTTGAGGAAGCTGGCCCATAGTTCATCCTCCTTCTTTTTCCTCGCATCCTCTGACCCAACGCCTTCTTCGTGTACTGCAGCTGTGTCTTCCTCCTCACTGCTACTTGCTCCAGATTCCGCATTGGCATCCTCCTCTTCCTCTTCTTCTAATGAGAGCCCACCTTGTTTTCTCTTCCTAATCACCAACATCACAAGGAAAAGGAAGGACAAGACAGACAATGCAAAATGATTTTTGTTATCCTTTCCTCAATTCCAAACATAATATTGCAAACGCAAGAAAACTTTTAAATATGGGGACTACTGATTAACACTGGAGGAGACTAGGGGAAGTAAGCTGAGATTTTTGTGGAAGAAAAAAAGAACTGAGCTCTTACAGTTAGCATTTTCCCCATACGCTTAGAAACAAAATATAGTGTTCTCAGTCAGGACCAGCCATTTTCACCAAGAAAATGGTGATTTCCCAAAATCACCTCACAGAATCAATCTGTCCAGAAAAAGCATTCCAAGAATATATACATCAGATATTTTTGACTTTTTAAAGTCACTCTACTTGGAGAACATGTTCTATCGAGGATAGCCTCAGATTTACTGGCATTGTTTCTTCCTAGAATTCTCAGGGGGAAAAAAAAATCCATGTTTCTTCTCATTTTCTGAAGATATGAAAGCTGGAATACAGAAAAACCCAAGGACAAAAGAACTGGGCCCAAGATTTTTAAGACTAAATTGCTTCTTAAACTATTCTGACTTCAAGTGAATCATCTAATACGTAAAATTATTTTTTCCCTTTTTATAAACTACAATTTGCTTTTTGCTTCAATGCCCAGGAAGACAGAAACACCAAAGAGAATAAACGACTTCTTTGAAAGATTCCCTTATCTGAGTTAAATAACTGATCAGAATTTTCATAATTTTTGGTGGGAGTGTAATTCAGTACCACGCCTATGGAAGGTAACTTTCTAATATTTATAAAAAAGTTTTTTTACTACATATAACCCCAGATCAACCAATTCTACTTCTACAGATTTGATTTACAAATATACTCCTACACGTATACAAAGACATATACAGAGAATATTCACCGCAGTCCTGTTTGTTGCAGCAAAGATGAGGTATAATCTAAATGTCTCTCAATAAGGGAATGCTTCAATAAAGTAAGGTTTATCCATATAACATAATACTATAAAGTCACTGAAAAGATTAAGGTATAGCTAAATGTACTGCCACTGTACCATCTCTAACAAGTGAGATAATGAAAGTGAGAAACAATATGCAGAGGATGCTACTGTTTATATATTTTTTTAAAGAGAGTAGGAAATATATACATACATGCTTGTACATACACAGAATATTTCTGGTAACATAGTTCTTCTGAACAAAGCAACAAGGGCAAGGGACAGGGTACACATTTTTATAGTAACTGGGCCCTTCATTTTAACCACGTGTACATATTATCTATTAAATTTTTTTAAATTAAAGCTCAAAAACATTTTAAAGCTTGCCAGAGACCAAGAATTGAACACTAAAACGACACCAAATGTTTCGCTTGAAGAGAAAAAGGTAAGAAAGCCTGACAGTAAGAAATCTATCATCAGACCAATCTCAGCAATCAGGATGGTTGTGACAACAGCCCCTGACTTCTAAGGGCCTTGAGGGCAGCATCACCTGGCCGGAATGCTCTGAGCCTTTCTTTTTTTCCCTTTGGTTTTCTGTGTCTGCTCTTCACCATCCACTTCATCTTCCTTCACTAATTCATTTACATCATCTTCACTATACTCTCCACCTGGAATCACATAATAGGGTGGTCAGACAGGCAGGAATAAAGATTTTCACATCAAGATGAGACATTTTCATTATGAATAAAGGTTTTCACATCAAGATGAGACATCTTCATCATGAAAAAAGTCTAGTACTTTCCTCTATTCTTCACCTAACTAAATTATCACTTCCTTAGCCAAGTCTTCTCTGTCTCTGAAGAGTAGGTTAAGTTCCTGAATTCTAGGCTTCCCTGGCAGTCCACGTTTTCCACCATAATTAATTCCCCTTATACTTAATGTTTGCAATTTCTGCTATGTTCTACACACCACGAGGTCATGGATCCTGTTTGTCTTTGGATTTATTCAGTGAATGAATAAAAATTCCAATACTACTACTATACTTTGCAAAGAAGAAACTGATGTTCCCACCTCATCGTGGATATCTTTCAAAAGGAAGCAAAAGATACCTTGTCTTGTGAATAAGAGATTTAGAAAGAGGCCTACAGACGTCCAGTTAGACATAGCAGAAAGAACAAACAAATTTATTTCCCATCCTCAGACACTGACATTCAAGGGTCCCCAACAAAAGAATGTTGCCTGGATGCCCAGTCTGACCACACTCTGTGGGCACCAGTCAATAAATCCTGTCCACATGGAGAATCAACTAACTTTTTTCTTTTTTACTTCATATAAACTTTTTTTTTTCTTTTTTTTTGTGAGGGAGATCAGCCCTGAGCTAACATTCACGCCAATCCTCCTCTTTTTGCTGAGGAAGACCGGCTCTGAGCTAACACCTATTGCCAATCCTCCTCCTTTTTTCCCCCCAAAGCCCCAGCAGATAGCTGTATGTCATAGCTGCACATCCTTCTAGTTGCTGTATGTGGGACGCGGCCTCAGCATGGCCGGAGAGGCGGTGCATCCGTGTGCGCCCGGGATCTGAACCAGGGCCGCCAGCAGCGGGGCGCACACACTCAACCGCTAAGCCACGGGGCCGGCCCCCCAGCTTCATATAAACTTTTATTTGAAGTATATCACACATACCAAAAAGCACACAAATCTAATCACAGCTCAATGAAATTACACAAAGTGAACACACTTGTATAACCAGGACCCAGGTCAAGAAGCAGAACACAACCAGCGTTCTAGAAGGCCCCTTGTGCCCCCTTCCAGTCACTAGCTACTGCACCCATCCCAAAGGTAACCACTATCCTGACTTTTAATGCATAAATTAGTTTTGCCTGTTTTTTAGCCTTAAATAAACAGAAGGCTTCAGCGTGTACTTTTTTGTGTCTGGCTTCTTTCACTCAACATTCTGCTTGTGCAAGTCACCCATATTGTTGCAATTAGCTGTAGTTTATTCATTCTCATCCCAAAATAGTAATTCATTGTATGACTATAGCACAATTTATTTATCCATTCTTCTGCTGATGGACGTTTACGTTGTTTCCAGTTTGGGTCATTACAAACAGTGCTGTTTTGAATATTCCTGTACATACAATCAGTTTTTAAATATTTCACTCACAACGAACCGGGGACCACCAAACACTTGAGGAAAGCCTCTAATATGAAAGGCAAGACTGAAAACAAGCAGCAAGGAATTCAGAAGAAATAGAATTTGGGGGAGAAAAGAAAATAAAAACTTAAAAAAAAAACCCAAACTCTTGAAAACTACAAATATGATAGCAAAGATTAGGAAAAAAGAAAAACAAAGATGCTGAGAAGCAGCCAGCCATGTGAAAATCCGGAGAATAAGTATTCGAGGCTGAGAGAACAGTAAATATAATAAGGGTTATAAAACAGAAAGAAGCTTGGTATCCATACACCAAGGATAAGTAAAAAGTGTTTCATGAAGAGAGGAGTGAGTTCCAGGTTAAGAAGGCAGTTTGAACACACAAGTAATTTTGCTTCCTCCTGAAACCCAGTAAAATCACTACAGCAAAAGAACTTTTAAGACATAAACCACAATGGTGGGTAGTTAGCTGCATTGTACATGTTTATATTTGCAAAAGGCAATACTGGAAGGATAAATAAAACAGTAATGGAAATAGCTATCTATAAGGGTCAGTGTAGAACAGGGTGGAGTAGGGAGAAGTGGAAGCAAGAGTTCTGTGTTTATCTTTCTATAGAATTTTGAAAACCCTTTAAATTAAGAACAGTTTGAATAAATAAATAAACATAAACATAACTGTATGCTCAAATAATAACATAACCCACAAAGGAAGGATTTATTCCAAGGACTTTAGAAATACAGTTTTTTGACTGTACATCCTTAGCAAGACACATTCTAAAGACAAAAAAAGTTCTATTCTTTGTAGTAACATCAATGTTGGTATTCTGAAACTATTTCCTTTACATTATAGGTTAAAGCAAGTAAGTAATTATGTTAATAATGTAAGGAAACCAGATCTTCAGAATAAGACAAATGACACACAATTATAAAATCAGAGAAATTAAGTGAAAACAAATGTTAAAACTGAATTAAAAATATCAATATGATCTCCAACTCTCTTTAAAGATATTTTCTAGTCTGTTCACTGAAATAGCACAGAACCAATGTCACTCTAGTAGCAACAAGCATTTCTTTAAAGTTCAGATCACATTCTTTGATATGATTCATCACTAAAAGGGCTCCCTGAAAAAAACCCAGCTAATCTCAGGTCTGAGGGAAGGAAAGCTTTACAAGGTTAAATTGGGACATTTTGCTGTGGCTGAAAGCAGGGAAGTTATTTAAGAATAATGGGTCAAAAAAAAAAAGAATAATGGGTCACGTTAAAAGGACATACGATTCAGCTTGAAAGAAGTCCTAGTAGCCAAAAGTGATGACTTGAGCATTAAAAACAATAACTGTTAGCGGACTAAAACACATTGAATGGATAAAAATCTGTGAACCCTTTATAACACTCAGGAAAAAGAAAAAAGGAAGAAAAAATAATTTGTACCATTTTAGGCTACTATTAAAATTACTCCCCATTTTGAAAATTGGTAATTAAGGGAAATGAATTAAACATTTATCCTGCCCCAATTGATGAGGAAAAGCTATACTTTACAGAAGAACATCAACTAATAAATGTGGAAGAACCAAGAATTATAAAAACATCACTTCTCACACTCTGATAGTAGTAATTTAGGCAAGGATTATCAAGTAATGTTAAACAAAACAAAACAAAACTTAAGTTTTAACCATTAAGTATATTGCCACACAGAATACTTTCCAGTTCCAAAACAATTACACAATAAAGGCTTCAGATTATCATCTTGTTCCAGTAGTCACAACTACAGAAACCAACCAGTTATCATGTGTCTTCTGACGTTATGCATTATTAAACACACAAGTCATCTATAATGTGTTCTAGCCAAAAAATATTTTATTTGAACCCAATTTACAGAAAATGCAAGGGACAAAGGAACAACCTAAAACAATACCATGAGGGAGCAACCAAACAAATCCAGAAGGTGAGACATTCTGCAGGACATACAGCCTGATCTCTTAAGCAAATCAATGTCATTAGAGAAAGGGGAGTGTGCTAGATTATAATACATTTAAGAGATGGAACAGCTAGATTATATATATGTGTAGTCCTGAACTCAATTGTGATTTGGAAAAATAAGGTATAACTATTTTTGGATCAATTGGAAAAATCTGAATATGGCTTGTATATTAGATGAGTTGCAAGTTTACTGAAATGGATAGGGAGAGACTGTTCACTGAAAAGAGTAGATTACAAAGTAACACGAAAAAGTATGATTTCAGGTTGGGGAAAAATACAAATATCTACACCCAGGTGTAGAGAAAGATCAGAGTGGGTATTCACTAAAGGATTAATACTGATAATCTCTGGTTGGTAGGAATGTAATGATTCTCTTTTTTATGTTTAATTGTCTGCATTTTCTAATTTTCTACAAAGCTCATGCACTACTTTTGTAATAATATAGTTATTTTTCATCATAAAAATGGGCAAATGTTACATACAGTTCAGAGAAGGAGATGTACATGGCTCTGGATGTTAAACATGTAAAAAGATGCTCAATCTCATTGATAAGAGATAAGCAAATTTCACATTACACAAAACAAGCAAAAAAAAAAAGATCAAATTCCATGCAGTTACTATGAGAAAAAAAAAAGAATAAGCAGCAGAATAACATCCCTATAGACAATGAAGCACAAAATGAACAAATCGTGTCCAAAGACTCAGAGCTTCCATCACGTTTTTAGTCCTCCATGCTTAAATATGAGCCAGACAACTAAGAATCACAGAACATCTGAGAAGGCGTCTAACATAATAAAGCCCAAACAAACATACAGGTGAATAAAATCACCTTGGAGGAAACAGACTGTTTCCTCGTTTTATGAGGCTAGCATTATTTGATACTAAAACCAGACAAGGAAATTATAAGAAAACTGCAGTCCAACATCCCTCATAAACACAGATGCAAAAATCCTCAAAAAAATATTAGCAAACCAAACTCAGCAATGTGTAAAAAGAACAATACATCATGACCAAGGGATTTTTATCCCAGAAATAAAAGGCTGCTCAAAATTTAAAAATCAATCACTGTAATTCACCACATTAACAGACAAAAGAAGAAAAACCACACATAATCAATAGATGGAGAAAAAGCATTTGACAAAATTCACCTCTCAGCAAATCAGGAATTACAGGGAACTTCTTTAACCTGATAAAAGGCATCTGTGAGAGGCAGTATATGCAGAGGGCCAGAGTTCAAATAGCAGCTCAGCTACTATCTAGCTGGGTGACTCTGGGTGCCTCAGTTTCTTCATGTGTAAAATGGAGAGTACAATACCACATATCTGGTAGCGTCAGGTGATTGAATTAGTAATGAGTTAGTCAAATAAAGTGCTTAAAACACACGCACACAAGAGGCATCTGCGAAAAACCTATAGCTAACATTATACTAAATGGTGAAACATTGATGCTTTCCCCTTAAAATTGGGCACAAGGCGAGGATGTCCACTCTTCACCACTCCTATTTAATACCATACTGGAAGTCATATCAAGTACAATAAGGCAAGCAAAAGAAATAAAAGGTTTATCTATTGAAAAAGAAGAAATAAAACTGTTACTATCCACAGACAACATGATCTATGTTTTTTGGGGGGATGGGTGGGAGTAGCCTTGAAACTGTTAATTCTGGCAGTGGTTACATAACTAAGCATTTGTCAAAACTCACAGAACAGTACACTGAAAAGAGTGAAATTTACTGTATTTAAGTTGAAATTTAAAAATTTTAAGTATTATAAATATCCACAGAGCAAGACATACTGCACTTATGAAACAAAAACTTGATGCTATAAAAAAGGAATATTCAAAGAACAAGTTATTCAAAATTAAAAATATGAAAGGAGAAAAAAACTCAATAAAAGAGATGGAAGATAACATATTGAAAATTTCCCATAAAGTGGAAAAAAGTCATAGGGTTAGAAAACAGGAAAGAATAAAAATTAGAGGACCAGTTCAGCAGGTGTAATACAAGATTCAATATACGCATAATGAGGATTCCAGAAAAATAAAACAGAAAATGAAGAAAATTGTCCAAAAAAAAAAAAAAAAGCATAATGAGGATTCCAGAAAAATAAAACAGAAAATGAAGAAAATTGTCCAAAAAAAAAAAAAAAAAGTCCCAGAAGGCCCAGCACAATGGATGAAAAGAGACTCATACTAAGGTATATCATTGCGAAATATCAGAAAATATCAGGAACAAAGAGATTTTATCAGCTTTCAGAGACAAACAGATTTCACATAAATGAACACAAATCAGGAATAGAACAGGCTTCTTAATAGAAACACTGGAAGCTAGAAAGTAACGGAGCAAAACTTTTAAAATCTGGATGGAAAATTATTACTACAGAACCTAGAATTATTATTATACAACACAGAATTCTATACAAATTATCAAGCATGCCTGAGGGTCACATGTTAGACATTCAAAGTCTCAGAAAAATGTTTCTACCACGCATCCTTCCTCAAGAAGTTATCTGAGGATTTACTCTCATTTTGGTGGACTGCACCAAGAAAGAAGACAACATGGGACCCAAGAAACAGGGAATCCAACAAAGAAGGAAGATACAGGAAACACCCACAGTGGTGATGATGATGGAAGATCCTAGGTTTAAAACTGGTAAAATCAGGCCAAACCGGAGCAGCTCAGAAGGCAAAGATGGACTTCAAGATGAAAGTGAAAGATTATCTAAAGAATCTAAGTATCTTGGGAGGTGATTTAGACAATTCTGAGAGTTTAGGGTCAAATGAGTGGTAAGTATATAAACTAAGCAACAACAATAAAATGGCAATCATCAACTCCGGAGAAAACAAGTGGTGCAGGAAGAGCAATCGCAGTATACATATCACGTGGTTCAGCGGTGAACATGGGGTTCACACAGTCATTAGGAAAAAGTAAACACTGAACACTGATCTAACCAAAACTGGACATAGGAACAATGGCAGGCTGGGAAGTTGGAGAGGGCCTGAAGGTGGAAGGGTGTGTGTGCTGGGAGGGAGGGGAATGAGGTAAGTGGGTATTAAAATAAAGACATACTACGCATGGGTTAAGTCAACAGACAATGGAAATACCAATTTTTTTTAAAAGTGGAAAAATTTTGCTGCTGGGGAGGACCGATAGGGATGAGGGATGAAGGGAACTACCTGGTTTCAAAACAAGCCTTTTAGAAATATTTGACTATTTTTAAGTATGTGCATGCATAACTTTGATGAAAATGAAAGCAAGTTTTCAAATGATCACTCTGGCCGTTTCCGTTAAGACCCGTGTTGGTGGACAAGAACGGAATCAGGGAAACCAGCTGGGAACCTATGGCGAATCCTAGTAAAGGATAATGGTAGTTCAGCAGCAGTGAGATTGGCGCGAAACTGATTTTACACGTGGACACAACAGAACTTATTGATCGGTTGGACCAAAAGAAAGTAAGGATAACTCCTCGGGTGTTTTTGCTTTTTACCTGAACGATTGTATGGGTAGATACTTTCAACGAGATGGCAAGTCTGGGGAAAGGCGCAAGATGGCGGAAGGGATAGGTTTGGGTGACAAGATTTTGGCCTCGCTTGGTTTGAGATGCCAATACGTGAAAAAAAACAAGTTCTGAGAAGATGGCAATAGGTATACACGTTGCAAAGAAGCAAAAGACATCATCACGTGAACTTTCTAACAACCAGACCCCTTTTAAGGGCACGAAGTGGACAGATCCATCTTAGACGTGATGCTAGCTCGCCATTCCCTGGGGACTGAAGGTCTGCCAATGACTTCCAACGCCCAGACTGCCTTTCAGAAGATTTCAGCGTTGGTGTGGTTAGGGGACCACCGACCACCGCGAGAGGCCGGGCTGTGTCCACGTGCCGGTTCCTGCGCTCCGGGAGGGGGCGGAGGCCGAAGCCAGACCGCCCGGAGCGGACGCACGAGACGTCACCGTGCACACCACCCGGGCCACGGAAACGGCGCAGGCAGGCGGGCGCCGGGACGGGGGGTACGGGGCCTCCGGGACCTGCGGGGCCGAAACTGTGGAGACCCGCGCCGCCGCACGCCAGGCCGAGCGCGCCTCACGTGAGCGCGGGGCGGGGCCAGCCGCCTCCCGTCTCACACGGAATCGCTCACCCGACGGCACGTAGTCCTCGTCCTCCTCCGAGGTGGAGAAGTCTTCAGAGTCGAATTCCTCCATGTCGTTGCCGCGCGGGGTCGGCCGAACCACAGAACCGAAGCGGGTGCCCCCAACTGCAAAGATCTAGAGAGAGACCATTGGGGGGCGGCAGCGGCTGGGGCGGCCCCGCAGGGTGTACACATGCGCAGAGGTACTACGTAATCGAAACGCGACATTTCCGGGCCAATGCCTCGGGCTTGAAGCTACTGTGGCCGATGACGGACATGGGCGCTGTGCTGAAGCGGTGCATGCTGGAACTTGTAGTCTTCAGCGCTACCAAGCCGCTTAGCTTTAGTGAATGTGCTTAAACAATTACAAAAAAAAAACAAAATTGTCTCTGGGAATACAGTTGACCCTCATTATTCACGGGTTGGTATTTTCGAATTCGCTTACTTGCTAAAATTTATTGTAACCCCAAAATCGGTATTCGCGGTGCTTTCTGGGGTTATTTGCGGACATGCGCAAAAGGTGAAAATTTGAGTCAATCAGCGTGCGTTGTACCAGCTGAGGTTGAACAGGGCAGACGATCCGCTTTATTGCTTCAACTTTAATATTGTAAATAAGTGTCATTTTCGCAGTCTATACAGTGCCACGTTTTTTGCATTTTTGTGGGGTTTCTTTGGTGATTTCGCTGTTTAAAATGACCGCCAAGTGTAGTGCTGAAGTGCTGCCTAGTGTTCCTAAGCGCAAGAAGGCTGTGATGTGCCTTATGAAGAAAATACGTGTGTTAGATAAGCTTCGTTCAGGCATGAGTTGTAGTGCTGTTGGCCGTGAGTTCAATGTTAATGAATCAACCATCCGGTACATCAAGAAAAAGGAAAAGGAAATTCGCAGATCTGTACGCGAGGCTGCTCCGGAAAGTGCTAAAGTGACGTCTATAGTGCGTGAGGAAGCTATGGAAAAGATGGAGAAGCGGCTAAATTTGTGGATTCATGAGATGACAACCGATCAAAAAGGTGTGGTGGACAGCATTGTTGTGAGGTTGAAAGCCAAAGAAATTTATGGTCACGTTACCCGGGGTCAGAAAAATGTTAAACCCTTCTCGGCTAGTGCCGGCTGGCTTGCGCGTTTCAAAAGGCGATATGGTGTGAAAAATGTTAAATTTGCAAGTGAGGCAAGTTCTGCAGATCAGGAGGCCGCGGAAGAATTTAAAAAACACTTGTTAAGTGTTATAGAGGAAAAAGGATACGTGGCAGAGCAGGTTTTCAACGCCGACGAGACTGGCTTATTTTACAAGGACGTTGGCAAACGAACCTATGTAACGCAAATGGCCTCCGAAGCCCCTGGCTTTAAGTCATTCCAAGACTATGCAACCTTGCTATTGTGCGCCAATGCCAAGGGCGACTTTAAGTGCAAACCTCTAATGGTCTACAGAGCCCAAAATCCACAAGCGCTTAAAGGGAAAAGCGTGAACCATATGCCAGTCCATTGGAGGTGGAACAAAAAAGCGTGGATGACGTCCGACTGGCTCCACAACTGCTTCATACCAGAAGTCGAATGCTATCTCCAGGGCAGAAACCTTGCCTTCAAGGTTTTATTAATTTTGGATAATGCCCCAGTCTATTGCTGTGAAGAACTCAAAAATGCCCACCCCAACGTAGAAGTTCTTTTCCTGCCTCCGAACACTACGTCTCTCATTCAACCCCTGGATCTGGGCATAATAAAAGCGTTCAAGGCTCACTATACCAGGGAACTTTATAGCAAGGCTTTGGAGGCCCTCAAGGCCAACAAGGACACCACCATGATGGATTATTGGAAGTCAGTCACTATATGCAACGTTATTGATTATGTTGGCACAGCCTGGGACAGCATCAAGCAGGCTACTATCAATAACTGTTGGAAAAGTGTTTGGCCAGACTGTGTGGAAAATTTTGAAGGCTTTGAAAGTGTTACAGAAAGTATAAAGAACAGTATCAAAAACATAATGCACATCGCATGGCAAATAAGCGGAGAAGGCTTTGACGACATGAAAGAAGATGACGTGGAGGAAATTTTGGCAGAGAAGGCGGTAGAACCCACCAATGAAGACCTGGACGAGATGGCAAAACACGGCATTCGAGTCAGCAATGACGAAGACGGGGGTGAAAGTCAGCCTAAGACCCCAAGAATTGTCCCTCTTACAGTGGCCAAAATATCAGAATGGAATTCTGCCTTGGAAAAAATTTTCAATGATATGGAAGAGTGTGACCCTATGCTTGATCGCAGCCTCAAATTTAAGCGGCTAACCTCCACTGCGTTTGCCCCTTATGCCGAGATGCTTAGAGATTTGAGGCAAAAAGCCAAGCAGACAAGGCTGACCCAATTTTTCCAGCCAGTTTGGGAGGGAAAATTGCTGGCTCCATCAACAAGTCATGAGAGCCAAACTCCTAAAGTTGAACTGCCAGATGCCGACATGCCATCTGCGGAGTAAGTTCCACCCACCCCTCTCTTGGTTTTCCTGGGGCAAGCCAAGGTTGAGAGATTTAACCACACTATACACTGCCATCACACATCCTGCAGCTCCATCAACAGTAAGATTTTAGTTAATGTTTTTATAAAACTTTAAACACTTAATCTTTAATTTTTTCAGGACTTTATTTGCATTACTGTACAGTATAGAGTATGTGTTCATGGTACTGTGTTTATTGTATGTGCATATTGTATAATATGTTATACTGTGTGTTCACTGTACATACTATATATGGGTACTCTGTGTGTATGACTGAGGGAAAGAAAGTAGCACAATCTCAGTATTGTAGAGTAGGTTACACAGAAATGCTGTCACTGAAATTTTGTTTCCTTGTAAAGAAATACTGCATATAATTATTTGTAAGAAAGATACATTAAGTAAGTTGTCTTTGAACAGAAATGCACATAAAACAAGGTTATATACTGATCAGTTGACAAAGATGTTGTGAACAGAGACTCACGTAACTACTGTGAACAACAAGAATTGACTGTAGAGTTCAGACATCATCCACTTGAATCCTTCCTTCAAGTTAAGCCATATGGAAGTAAAACCATATATAATCTTTACTTTATCAGATTAAAAATTTTTGTTTAATTATAATCAAATTATGGGAGGCAGTAACCAGAAGCAAATGCAGATGAGACATCGACAACTAACATCCTATTTGTTCACGTTTAGGGTTTTTTCAGCTGAAAATTGCTCCTTATTGACATTCTGGACTAGACTGGGTCAGTGTCACCCAGTCCTAGAGTTATCTAAATCAAGAAATAGAGGAAACATGTCTGTGATTAAAAGGACATGGCTCTATGCCAGCAAACTTTTTAAAACAGCATGATTGAAACATAATTCACACATCATAAAATTTACCCATTGATTCAATAGTTTTGGTATATTCACAGACTTGTGCAACCATCACCACAATCAGTTTTGGAACATTTCATCACTCCAGAAAAAAAGCCCTTACCCCTCAGTAGTCACTCCCCATTTCTCCCCAGTCCCCAGCCTCTGCGAGGCGAATCTTGCTGTTTCTATTGATTTGCCTGTTCTGGACATTTCATATAAATGGAATTATACAGTATTTGGTCTTTTGTGACTGTCTTCTTTCACTTAGCACGTTTTCAAAGTCCATTTCTCTTAGGTACATGCCTGTGGAATTGCTTGATCGTATAGCAACTCTGTGCTTTACCTTTTGAGGAACTGCCAAATTGTTTTCCAAAGCGGCTGCACCATTTTGTGTTCTTGCCAGCAATGTGTGAAGGTTCCAGTTTCTCCACACCCTTGCCAACACTATGTCTTTTTGATTATAGCCATCCTAGTGGGTGTGAAGTAGCATTTCATTGTAGTTTTGATCCGCATTTCCCTGATGACTAATGATGCTGAGCATCTTTTCATGTCTTTATATTTGGAGAAATGTCTATTCAAATCCTTTGCCATTTTTTTTGTTTGTTTGTGAGGAAGATTGGCCCTGAGCTAACAACTGTTGTTAATCCTCCTCTTTTTTCCTGAGGAAGATTGGCCCTAGGCTAACATCCGTGCCCATCTTCCTCTACTTTATGTGGGACGCCTGTCACAGCATGGCTTGACAAGCAGTGCATTGGTCCGTGCCCAGGATCTGAACCTGTGAACCCCGGGCCGCCAGAAGTGGAGCACGCAAACTTAACCACTACGCCACTGGGCTGGCCCATTTGCCCATTTTTAATTTGGGTAATTTGTGCCCAATTGAGTTGTAAGAGTTCTTTATATATTGTAAATACCAGTCTCATAAAATATATGACTTGAAAATATTTCCTCATATTCTGTGGGGTATGTTTCACTTTCTTGGTGGTGGCCTTGGAGGCATAAAAATTTTTAATTTCAGTGAAGTCCAATTTTATCTATTTTTGTCTCTTGTCCCTTGTGCTTTTGGGATTGTATCTAAGAAAGCTTTGACTAACCCAAGATCACAAAAGTTACTCCTGTGTTCTTCTAAGAGTTTTATACTAGTTTTAGTTCTTACATTTAGGTGTATGATCCATTTCAGGAGATCTTTCTTATGGGAGAATAGAAAAATAGATGTGAAATTAGGACCCAGTATTTGGGAGTTTACCGTTCTCAGCCTCATTTTCCTTGTACAGCGTAAAAGGACCCTGCAGTGACAAACCGAGATGTAGCCTTTTGCCCCATCACGGGGGGCTGCATGGTGGGAAAAGGATACATTGGCGTTCTCCAGCTGACTCGCTCCTCCAGTGTCATCCCATTTCTCTCAGTCTCCTCTTCATAGCTCATTAGCACTCCATGCATTTGTTCAAATTGACAAAGTTTCCAACCACTTTAAGGGTAACCAGGAGAGGAACTATTTTCTATTATGTCAAGTAGTTTAGGAAAGAGGTAAAAAATTGGTTTGCAGGTCAACAAATCCAACTCTAAGACATGCAACGTTTGACCTGAAAAGCATTTTACATGAATTTAAATTAGTTGCCGGCACTTAAAAATTGAGATTTCAAATAATCTAGATTTCCAACTTCCCTTGAAAAGCTGGAGAATCTGGCAACTCTGGGCTCATAATCCCACAAAGTAGAAATAGGCTGGACTGGGCAATGGCTTTAGACAGGGCTCTCCAGTTGGCCACAGTACAAATCTCCCCAAATCCCTACAAAATTCCTAGTTTACTATTACTGTGGTGTCTTAGCAATAATTTATGGGGTCCTCTCTGCCAAACTCAGCACCTTTAGCCACTCATCTGCCATAGTCTCT